CCGCGGGGGGGACAGGGAGCCGGGTCAGCTCAAGGCTGCACGGGCCGTGACTGAGGCCTGGGCTCTCTGGCCCTCCAGACCTGGGCTCCAGTCCCAACCCCACCAGGCCTTTAAGTGCCCGGTGCCTCAGTTTCCCCATCTCTGAGATGGGGTTAATTGTGCCTGATGGTGGTGCTGAGAAGATTCAATAACCATGAGGCAGGGGCCTCTTGGAGTTTTTTGGACAAAAAGACCCATAAGTGGGGCAGTGTCTTTCTGGGAGCCTTTTAGTACAGGACTGGGCAATCAGCAAGGGTTTAATAAATGTTCCTTTTGAAAAAAAAAAATAAAAGTTACTATTATTCCCATGTACATGTGACGTTTTCATTTGTGTGTTGCCTCCCCATCAGAACGGCAAACCCCACAAGGGCAGGTATTTGCAACTGTGGTCACTGCTGTGTCCCTGGCACCCAACAGAGTCTCTGGCTGTCAAAGATCAGAGTGTGGCTACGCGGTATACACATGACCCAGCCCCCAGGGACCACACCACACAGGCTGCTCATAAAAAAATTTTTAAATTAAAAAAAGGTAAGTATCAGTGCACAAACAGGAACAGAGGGCCCAGCACCACATACAATGTGGTCACCCCAAGTGGGGCAGAACCCCAGAAAGGCACAGAGCTGAGGCCAGGATGCTGGTTCCTCTGGGTGTGGTTTCAGGCCCTGTGAGCTCAGAGGTCGGCCTTCCGGAAACTTGCTCTGTTCAAGGAGTTCCTGGGGGAGGAATGAGGTGGGTCAACATGGACACAGGGCCCCCAACTCCATAGTGCTCCCAGCCCTCTCCCTTCTCCTCCGCCAAAGCTTCGTTTAGAGTCTTCCCTGCTCCTTTCACATCCGTTCTGATCTGGCTGTGGGTTCATAGATTCTCTCCCGGAACCCACCACCAGAATTGTATCGTGCCCATTTTACGGATGTAGAAACTGAGGCTCAGAAAGATGAAGTTACGTGTCTGGGACCTAATGCACTAGGATCTGAAATGATTGCCCAGAGTATGCATTTGTGCACATGCCCAAGTAGTCACATCCTTGTGTGCAAAGCCAAATGCATATGCTGATGTGCACGACAATCCCCATCCTTGCCCTCTCTAGGGTGGGGGGCCTGGGTCAGGCACCTGAGGCTGGCTGTGGTTGGCGCCAGCAGCTGGGGCAGGCGCTGGGTGAGCAGGGGCTGCAGAGCCTCCCTTAGGCGGGCGTAGTTGCGCTCCAGCTCGCGGTGGTACTCCTTCTGGTCTGGCCCAATCAGGGCCTTGTTCTTTCGCAGCGCATCCTCGCACCTGAGGGCCAGATGGCAGGGTGCTCAGGTACTGGCACTCGGGAGAGAAAGCAAGACCAGAGGTGGAGGAGGAGCCCATGAGGTGGGCCAGGAGCTAGAACTGGGGGGTAAAGTAGGCAGAGGGCCATGATGAGGGTTGAAGGGGCTCTCATGGGTGAGGTCAGGCCTACTTCTTGCAGAAGTCCTTGAAACAGAGCCGTAGCTTGTTGTGATGCCTGAAGAGCTTGGGGTCTTCTGGGATCTCTGCCAAAAACACCTGGGCCACCTCCAAGGGACCCTGTGGGGTAAGAAGGCCTTGTGAGGGTGTCTGCATGGACCCTTGGGGGCCTCGGGCAGCCTGCATACCCCACCGGCCGTGCCTGGTTCACAGTGGGTCCCACAGAGCCCTGTAGCACCATCTGCAGCATCTTGGCATCGGGCGGGTCCTGTTCGGTGGCAAAGGCCAGCTCCCGTGTCTTCTTCTGCATGTCCTCGATGGCCACCTCCACCGGCGTCAACACCGTCTGCAGGGTTAGGGGGCAGCATGCACTGGCTGGGGCCTGACCATATCCTGACCCAGGCCAGCCCAGGGCAGCTGCGGTGGGAGGGGCCTGCGTGGCTGTGTCATGAACAGTGTGTGAGGGCTCCTGCCTGCCTGGCTCTGCCAGGGCCTGGCTCAGCTGCCTTTGTCTAGCTCTGGGGCTTTGGTCTGGTTGTGGTGCAGCCTTGGATCAGCTGGGTCTGGAGGTAGAGATTTGAGGCTACAGATTGGGGTCTGGAGGTTGGAGTTGGGAGTCCCCTCACCTCCCACAACCCGGGTTTGGGGACCCCACCTACCTCCTCTCGGTGGCACACGCGGATACGGGTCTTGATGTAGGGGAAGGCATGGTCCGTGCTCAGCAGTGTCTTACGCTTGTGTTGCTCATGCAGCTCCCCGTGAGCACGCCCGTCAGGCGTGAAGGGCGTACAGAACAGGAAGGTGCGCAGGCCGTAGTTGCGGTCGAAGTAGGTCACCCGGTCCTTGAGCTCATAGGTGTCGAAGTGGGGTTCCACGTATGTGATCTGGATGTAGGCCTGGGGCACGGGACTCCGGTGTGAGGTTCCCACAGCCCCCACATACCCCCCTGGGGCTTGCCAGCCTCCCAGCAGGGCTCTGTCCCTGGAGAAAGGGGATTTGGGCCTCCATGGATCTAGGGGTTTTACATCTGGGAGTCCCAGGTCTCCTTATGTTTGGGAATTACCTGAGGTTAAGGATTTGGGGGTCCCTGGAGGACGTAAGCTTTGGACTTTCTCAGAGGAAAAGGATTTGAGGGTTTCCAGGAAACAGTGCTGAGAATCACCCCGACTATAGGATTTTGGGGACCCCAGAGGCATGGTCAGGAACCCTCACCTTCTGGGAGTCAAGCTTGGTCTTGTCGACAGGGTTCGAATCTTTGACAATCTCGACCACATCTTCTCCAAACCTCTCCGTGTAGAACTCCTGGGGACACGGGGCTGACTCGGGCCGCACAGGTGCAGCCCCCACCCCACCCCAGGGCAGCCTTGTGCCCCATCCACCCACCACCACCGGGACGTGCCTCCAGCCGATGTGAGATCTCGGCCAGCTTCGTGATGGATGGCTCCTTGTACACAAACTCCTGCTCGTCCAGGTCACCAAAGCGGGCACCGTAGAAACCCACGCGGAAGTATGTTCCAAAAACGCGCTGGGGCTGCGGGAAGCGGTAGTGTTGCTTAGGAGGCCCTGCGGGAGGTCCCCCTGCTCCAGAAGTGCGGGCCCCACATGTGGAAGAGGCAGGAGACCCAGAGCACTTTGGGTAGCATGTGAGGATTCCAAGAACATCATAGCACAGGCAGAGGCAGGGGGTCCTATTGGGCATGGGCTCAGACGACCACCAACTGCCCACACCCTTGCTCTTTCTCCCTAGCTTCTGTCTCCTGCCTCCCCCAAATATGCCTCCTCATTTATCCCTTATATGCAATAAGGACTGGGGCTATATTGCTCACAGCTGTATCCTCAATGCCTACTGGGCTGGGTATGCAGCAGGTGCTCAATAAAAGCTTGGGACAGAGACTCTGCCTCTTTTGTTCCAGGGCATCCTCTCACTCCTCCCCCGCCTCCCCGCCCGCCTCTCCCCCAAAGGAAGGGGTGGCTCCATGTTCACTCACCAAAGCAGATCCAGGAGGGGTGGGATAGGCATCAGGAGAGGGAGGTGGGGAGCAGGGGACAGAGAGACAAAATCATGGGGGAGGTCAGAGGTCAGAGCCACCAAACCCCCAGGGTCCTGGTTATGCTGCCCCATGAGACCAGAGACCCAGGGAGGGAGGGGACCTGCCCACCCCACCCAGCCCCCA